ACTGAGAATGACATCTCCGTGCTGACATCAGTGAAGTATTCATCATTTTGTACTATTCGTTGAGCATAGGCTGGTACAGAGCAGATCTCCAAACATACATGCACATGCATACTTTTTTGCATGCTTAACTTCCCAATCTCCATTCTTTTCCATATGGTTATATAGAAAAGAGCCAGACTGAAGTTTCATTTAAAAGATAGTGCATCCCTGTGACAAATCATTCATTAGCAAATTGGAGCATGTTCTAAGACAACAGAAGCAAATGCATTGGTATTCTTCACCCTCTTACTGCCTCATACGCCACAGTACATGGGGATTAGGTTGCCTTTGTACTTCCCAGAGAGTTCCCCATGTCAAGGCACTGTCTGTTGTTCCTGTAAAGCTGATTTCTAGCTGCTGAGCCAGCATAAAAGGCAAGCCACAACCCGTTATTAGTCTTTAATATGTATATTTAAAACCATTAAATCATCTTTTATTACATAACTGAAATTACTTCAAATGGGCCTCCATTTTTGATCTCCCCTGCTTCCCCAGCTATTGTGTGCAAAAAAGTCTGAACGTACAGATATATAATCTCCTCCATGTCAAGCAGTTGTATAGTTCTCAAATCTCGTCTTATCTGTATCAGTACAAATCAGATTTCAGTGACAATTCTCTCTATTTACACCAGGCTCTGTACAGTCAGAGCCAGGTTCACCAGCTGTTCTCTAGACCAGAAAGAGAAAACTAGGCTTGCATAACAATTCAAGGTTTTGCCTTTGAAGTTCTAGAGCCAGAACCTCATCTGGTGTATACTGATGTAGTGCTCTGACTTTAATTTAAACCAGCTGATGAGCTACTCCCCCTTTCCCTGCACTCGCCATATACTTCCCCGCCATTCGAAAGGGTGATCAAGTTCAGATGACATCTTATGTGTGGAGGAAACTGTACCATGAAAATCAAACAGGCAAATGCAGAAAATTTATCAAGTGTCCTTTGTGGATTGAACTGATGAGAGTAAACCGTGACACGTACTCATAAATGACAAAGAGTATTCAGTAAATTGCCTCTATCTGGAGGCATGGATAGAATCCTGTAAGTATAGTAGTGAAAAGTAAAAAGAAATTCTCCTGTTTATCAAAATTTACATCTTGCTACATAATGCAAGAACATATCTGTCTTTTGATGGGTGCCATGGCAACAATATCACTAGAGTATTGCATGGGAACGTTTTCAGAGCCAGGAAATAGGATGAAATGAGAAGCTCACTGGTTATCTGTGGACAGAAGGACTTTTGCCGCAGACCCCACGACAGATTCTCCTTCTCCTTGTTCCCAGTCTGTTATTTAGAGTTGCCACCACGTTCATACTTTCCCTTTATGCTGCCAATGTCCAGAGTTGGTGAAAAAAAAGGCAAGAACTGCTACTACTAAAAGGATACAACTTAAACTTGGCTCAGAGATCCATAATATTTGCATCATTTAGAAGAGATGAACAATACAGAAATGCTAAAACAACTATGGTTATTAGTGAAGAACAGAGAAACATAATTACGTGCTTAGCAAAACCAGACTTAAAAATCGTATTTGCTTGAAAGGTATATGTGCATGAAGAGGTCAACAGATAACCACCATGTTCCGTTGCTAGTTTTTACTGGCTCTGCTTTTGTTCTGAGACAACTAATTTCAGCACACACGGCCTGGGAATGAACACTCCACTTTGTTGAGATCAACAAAACACCTGCAATTCTTCCTGAATTATTGAATTATTGAATACTGTAGTGCCAGCAAAGAGGAAGTGAAACTAATACCTCATTCAAGCAAGCTTATTTGCTCTGAGATTTGTGTGGAAAAAGGACAGCTTAGCATTAATAAATGGTAATATAAAGTGTTACTTATTGCAATGGCCAGGAACAAAACTAGCTTTAGAGGGAAGTTTTAGTAATAGTTCTGAATACTACAATTTTCTTCTTTTTAGCTATTGCCCAGTGACACTTCTTTAGGCTTCTGCATGTAGAGCATTATTAGACCCCTTGTCTACGCAGAAACACGGTCAAGTTACCTGAGAAGCGACTTTCATTCCCTTAATTCCAAGGTCTGGTTTATATAGAGGTTGACTTATTAACAGCAATCAAACTCTTGCAGTGTACTCCTAGACCCCCTTTCGTAGTCACTTTTGAACCTGTTGGCCAATCTGAGAGCAAGATAAAAGTTTAAAGATGGTTCCTGGGTGTTTCTTGAGAATGAGTGGCTGGGTGGTTGATATATATATACGATACTCCTGAAGAAAAGGTTGGAGTAAAGGCTCAAGCATGTTTTTAGACGTAAGCATATCCAAGCAGGAGAGAACTGCAGGTCCTCAGGGTTTTCAAATCCTGCTGCTTGTGGAAATGATTTGTTTTTCCAGGCCCTCAGTGTTCCCATTCTGCATTACTTCACAGACCTTGTTTCATTTTTGCTCAGATGGCACTAGTTTATTTTCTGTTCACACAAGAGCCTTCTTGACCCTTGCAGCACCCATCTTCTGCCTTCCTGTTTCTTGATCTCATTTTAGATCTGTTCGTGCATCCTGCAATGTTTAACCTCATCCTTGGGCCGATGAAGTTTGTTATATAATTACATTGGTAAAGCCTTCTCACAATGTTTTCTTATCGATTGTGTGATATATAACAATGACCTGAGCTTGTCACCCCTTTTGTATGTGGATATCCTTCAGATGAGCAGGAGAATTCAAAGCATGAATAGTGTATGGATTATTCTCAAGGGAAAAAATACCGAATAAGCCAGTTCCATCATCACGTTTTATTGTTTTGTAACAAGAGAACTTTTATGGATCCGAAAATGTACAACTGTAGCATGTGAAAAAACAGGAGTCAGAAAAGATAGTATGCGTTCCTTTGTGATTCGCAGGACAGATGGTTAAGTTTAATGATTTGTATGAATGATTTGTATGGGTCTTTTTTTCAGACTTCCCTGTGGCCCAGAAATAAAATACGCTGCCTTCGTACAAGGAGCTGGCCAAATATATAGTTGCTCTTCGCAGCTGAGTCTGCAGTCTTTAAGTCATAGCTACATAATTACATGTGAGCCCTATATTTGCTTTCTCTTCTTTAAGCAGCCTTCAATTCATTGAAGATCTTCCCATTCCTGAGCAATTTAGTTTACTTACTAAATGACCTATTTTCACTTTACATCTTGGTGAGAACCTTGGCCTTGCTACAGATTGGATACACTCGTGAGATTCCTTTAGTGAGTCAAACACCACAGCGAATGCCTGGGTGCCACCCATTACCAAGATACAGCAACAGACTGAATGAGTCATATCCAGCCTCCAGGTTCCCCCTTCCTTGTGCAGGAGAAGTTTCTAGCCGCTGCACTTACAAAGCGTTCCAAACGTGAACAGGGGGCAGAAACATAACACATGGTCCTCAGTCTGCAGGCAGACTGCAAAATGGTATAGAAATGTTAGCCTCACTGGCAGATAGGCTAAAAACATTTGTTTAGCGTCTGTTTCGCTCAAAGATTGGGGATTTTGCAGAAGTAAAGATTCAAGAAACTGACACCTCTGAAGTCTCACTGTCAGCAGCAACATACTGCTTGGAACTATAAATCAGTGTAGGTAAGACAAAGTAACATCTTGAATTACTGAGACAACATAAAGCAAGATACTTTAAAAAGCAAGGTGATTATTATGGCAGACTACTACATTTCCATACTGCTTGTGCAAGTTTCCATCTACCAGTAAGGTGTTTTAAAAAAGAAAGAAAAAATTTACTCAATATAGCGAGCACAAGAGTGCTATACCATTGTGGAACCACTAGTGGCTAATTCTGTTCAGGGTACTGGCACACAAGAGGACTGCGTGCTTCTCTACCTGGTCTTTTGTCTGTGAAGACAGGGAGCTACATACCTGGTTCAGACAACCTGACTGAAAAAGTTGAGGCAGAGGAAGCTGCTCCTCAACCCAGGTGAGAGCAGCAGCTGAACTGCAGAAGCTCGGTGTGCAGGGCTTCAGCTTTAAAAACAGCGCCAAATCCTACCTCAAGGACAGCTCTGCACACCTCCCAGCTCTCCAACACAGATGAATTGAGTATTTCATGCCTCCTTCAGTATGGGCCTCAACCACAAGTCAGCCAGCCAGCTCAGAACATCAGAATTGTTCTGACCAACCCGCTTTTTAGCTGAATTTGTATAGACAATAATTTCTCGCAGTTGCAGACCCAGAAAGAGGACACAACTAAGTTCACGTCAGGTCAGGCACCACTCTGGTATGGTTGTTAAGTTTTACAATTGCACGAAATCTATTCTTCTGCACTTGCTGAATTTCAGACAAACTCAAATGCTGAACAGTTCTCTTTGTGCTGCCAGACCTGCTCTGATAATGCTTTAGTAGCACAATTTCCTTCATAGACGTGCACCACATTCAATCTGCATGTTCTGCGAGGGGTTGGGCAGTGAATTTAAACACATTGTTTATTTCCACTTAAATCTTTTTATCTCATCACTGCAATACCTTACCCATGTGTCCATGCTACTTGAGGAAGACAAAGAACATAGTACTAGCTTGTCAAGTGAAGCAAGGGCACCACCGTTAGGTAACACACAGTCACTGTAAAAAGTGTTGCTTTTTCCCTTCATGCTGACTTTGCTGTGGTTATGGTACAGCAAAATTGTGATTGAAGCTCTGATTATACCACAGAAACAAGCAGGCTTTTGTTTGCAAATGTATGCAAGGCCAAGCATTCCAATGCTCTTACTAAGTACTCCAGTACAACAAATGGATTATCAAGAGCAGAAAAGATATACCCGTTCTCTCTTCTCCTTCAGCTCAAAGGCCCAACACTGTTCTGAACTTTTAGGCCTCAGGCAACATAATCAATTCTACAATGCCATTATTTTACCTTCGACTACACAACAGACTAGGGCAGGTGCATCACAACATGTAATGAACAAACTTGATTACTGCAACATCTCTCTAATGTGAATTGTGGAGACAGTACCAACAGAAACACAGACCACGAGTTGGTTTATAAGGATATGCCAGGCCTGTATTCTTGTAGTCTCAAAATCTATTACAGTAGGAATAGAGCAAAAGATTCAAAAGAAAACGCTTACAACTAAAGGAACCATTCTTGTCCTAAATTTCTGAAAACTTGAGTAAGAAACTTTCTGAAGAAACTTTCCACATAACTTGGAAATTTTTAATAAATCTGTTATGACATGCAAATTATTTACTGCTTTTCTGTCTAGAGTTCTGCATGGAGACTAATGCAGGGGGTGACAGGGGCAAGATGTGTGAGGAATCCTTCTAGTTCATTTGTAGGCCAGGTTACAGCAGCACTTGAAATGGTCACCTCCCTAATCTGACCCAGCTCAAGAAAAGAGAAGTTTCACCTGGGGCATGGGAAAAGGGAAGAGATGATAATATAAAATCAAGCAATTTCAACAGTGATAGATGACAGGATGCTTTCGGGGCCATTAATCAAGTAACTACTTATATCGCTAAAGAAAACCCCCACTATCAGCAGACACTGTTGACTTTACAAACTTTCCTCAATCTGTAATACTTCGAGGCGTGCAGTTGTGCATAAAGCTGCTTATATTTGCCATTAAAAACTTATGTTAAGTGAACAGGAAAAAAAATCAGACGACTCAAAACCTGTTACTTTATTTTAATTATTATCCTGCATATTCACTTCAGAAGAAGGGAAAGCATTTCTTGAATAAATTTTTCCCTTCAAAAACTCAACTGCATCTTCATTTGTCATTTCCTGAAACTTCTTGTTCATGATCTGGAGGAAAGAGAAAGGAGAGGGTACGTTAGTTCTGTTGTCTTTAGCAAACCACCTTGTCCCATATACCTAGCATTCAGTGATGGGAAGGCCGTGGCAAATGGCCATGTATTTTGAAAACAAGTTGATTCAGATCATTCATTCTGTACAAAACAGGGAAATAAGCCAGTCACATAGGTCTTAGGTACAAAGCAATTCAGTGACCTGTGATTTTGTTTTGCTGAACTATGCGTTGTTTTGTTTGTTTGTTTGTTTTAATTTCACTGAGAGTGATCAGTTGTAGCTTGTCTTTTGGAGTTCCTCTGTTCTTTATGACAGAATGCTCTATCGCGATACCACCACCACTACCTTGTAAGAGGAGATGATCTACAAATAATCAATCACTCTGGAGGAAGCTCACCATTTCCTACAGGGCCTGTTCTACTGCGCAAGCATACTCATCACCGCACTGATTAGCAGGACCTAAACAGAGAGAATAACAGGACTTGTCTTACCACAATCACACGGTAGCCCAGTTTATTTAGATGCCTCTTCTTCATTGCCAGCTTCCCTTGGGGGTGTGTTGTACCCACGCAGAAAGCAGAGAGAGGAACAAAGAGAAAAGCCAACCTACAACCAAGAAGAGTAGGGACAACTCCATTGTATGAATGCAGAATAAGCATTTTAAAGATTTAATGGTTGAGAGATGTTCTTTAATACTGCAGAACCTATCTGTCTTACTAGTGGGCAAAAATACCAGCACTGCAAAAATTGCTTTATTCTTTTCCTTCTCCAAATAATTTAACACCTCTTTTCTTCTATGAGCTTCACATAAGTACAGGCATCTACCTAAACAACTCCTTAGACCTCTAGTTCTCCCACAATGAGAAGGAAATAGATCTTTCAAAATTGTACATTATTTTGACAGCTTGCGCATTTACTTTGATCTTTTGCTAACATTCAGAATATTTTATTTCCTGCCATAAAAGCCTATTTGGAAGAGTGAGAAAACCTTAATGCCTCGGTAGCCTGACAGTGAACCTCTATTGCACAAGTCGCTAGCTCCCCATTTTCCAGAAAGCAAACTATACAAAATATACTGCTGCTTGTGTGATCCAGCACACAACCATAAGCATTGTCCAGTCCTAGTTAAGTCTTACTTGGATGATACATGTCCCACTTCAGTTACTGAGAGGCCATTTTTCTGCACAAGATTAATTTAATCACTGAAAACGTGGACACGATGATGCTTTTCATTCAGACTATATTTCAGCAGCAGCATTCACTGCCTCAACCTAACGTGGAGGCGCGAATTTTGAAGACTTAAGAGAATAACTGAATGTTGATTGGACGCACAAAAATGCTTGGAATTTTAAAATTATAATGTAACAATGTTTTGGAAGGGATCTTAATTATACTTTGAAATCTGTATCCATTATAAGAGGTTGAGATTATCCCCGCTGTGAGGTTTCCTGCCTCCTTGTCTAAAGTGTAAATTCTAGACTCTGTTAGAAGAGGGTACTGAGCTAGATGAGTTGTGGTTCTGAACGGGCATGGGAAATTTTCTATGTTTCTGCAAGCACAAATAACAAGGCAGGTATTTACTTTGTTTCTGCAAGTCAATGAACCAAAGAAGCAACTAGGTGGAATACATACAAATAAAACTAGCCTGCTGGAGAAAATATGCAATCAAAAAAAGACACCTTTGAACACTTGAGTCAGCATGATCATCTGTTGCAGTTACTGGGAGCACTTTCTTTCTCTCTGAATCCATTCTGATTTCAAAATCTGAAAACCAAACAATAAAACATTAAACACTGCAAGAGGTTACAAATAATGTTCTATCCAGCTAATTTGAAAAAGTCAACAGATATTGTCACTGCTGTGTTTCTAATTCTTACTTTCTAATAATTTACCTATTACTGATGACTCTTCCTTCCCTGCAACCAGTATAAACAGCTATAGCTTGCACATCTCTAGAAAAGATATTTTTTAGAAACTATAGATATAAAAAGTTTATAGGAATGAAATCAGTTTAAAGAAACAAGTCTTGACCGTAGTCTGTCGTACCTATTCAGGTTTTCCTGTGATCTGATCCCTAACTTTAAAATATTTACAAAGAAAATTATTGTAAGTATCCTAAAATATATTGGCAAGCTGGGCGGCTGACGAAAGAATAAGCAATATCAAAACATAAAAGAAACTAAATGTTATGAAATTATCACCTATCAAAGAAGCTCATATCCCATTTTTATAAATTCAAGTAGAATTCGAACCTTATCCAGTTTTGGAGGAAAAACAAGTCAGAGACAAAAAGAAAGTGGTTGTTGGTTTTTGTTTTTGATGTGATTTAGTACTAAGAGGGCAACTCTCTAAAATGGTTGGCCGTACTGGATTTATGTATAACTACAACCCGTTCTCTGATGCTTTCCACAAAAGTTGAAAGCAGTTCTGTAAAGAAGCGCAATCATAATGTTTTAGTAAATTAAATACTTTAACAGAAGCATCCTAGAAAATAGATTCACCAGTCAAGAACATCATTTGCTGAAGACAGTGTCTTCAGAGTTTTACATTTCTAACCCCCTGTACCCTATGCACATTTGTTAATATCTTATTATTTTAGGAATAACACATCTATATTCAAAGGACAGTAATTTGGCTTCATACCAATATGGTATTTGTGCAGCAGCTGAACATTTTGCCGAAACATGTTCTCATCTCCCAGAAGTTCTAGAAGGGCCTCTCGAGCCTTTCTGAGATTAAAAGGTACTAATGAGGAGAACTCCTCAGTCAGCACAAATGCAGGCTTTGTGAAGGAAGGGCTATCGAGTTCCATACATGCTTTCACACAATGAAGCATCCTTTCCTTTTGTTCTTTGTAAAGGACACCTGAAAAAGCATACAAAAAGAAAAATTAAATTCAGTGTACTATCTCACAGAATTCTTTATTTTATTATCATTTGCAGTCTGTTCTTTCAGAGCAAATTAATTTCAATATAAGAATCAAAGCACTTTTTTTTTTCAGAATAACTGCAGTATATTTTTAAATATACCCCATTGATTCACTAATTATAATCTGAAGTCTATGGCTGGAACCTGTCCATTCATCC